AACAACAGAAGCATTAAACTTATACTCCATGAACTTACACTAAACATTTAATCTCATAGCAACTATGCATGCATGTACCACAAGCTTCCAATTCAACAAATACATCTCAATTTATGTTCTTGATTACCCAACTAGCTTGAATTATACAAATTACCAATTCAAACTTATTGAATTCATAACCAATTACTCACCTAGAAGCTCAATCTTCCAAATTGTAGTTAATTCTTGAAGTTAAGCTTCCAAATTCCCAAACTTGAGCTAAGATACACAATTCTCCTCTTTCCTCTCTTTAGAGCCGGCCTCTCTCTCTTCTCCTCTCTCTCTCTCTCTCTCTAGAGTGTGACTTCAATTCAGCTCAAACAAAATGAAATAAGAGTAGATGGACCCCTTATATAGGCCTTTAATCAACTTTGATTAGGATCAATTAATGGTGCTTAATTCAATCAGTTTAAACTAATTACCTCATCTGAATTCAGTTTTCATTAAATTTCACCATAGGTTCTAAAAATTATGCTAATCACAATGCCGCGATCAATTTCGATTTCTGTGGCCAATAAGGCCTTAATTTAAATTCTAAAGTAGATAATAAAATAGATTTTCCTACGGTGAACATATAGAAATTAACACAAAATTAGCCGTATAAATGGCACTCAAAATCACATCAAAACACATAATCACAATCTTAATTAAGATTAATTAGCATAATACGGAACCAGGTGTTATCACAGAGAGAGTGACTCATGGCTTGGAGAGGGAAAAAGAGAAGAAAAAGTAAAGAAAATGTTAAGTGAGGGACCTATTTATAGTGCTAGGTCAAAGTAAAATGAAGTCCCAAAGTCAACCCAAAAGATCAAGTCAAAATCCCCAAAAAGTAAGGCCAAAAACCAGACTGAAATCTGGAAAAAAGTCTGCAGGGGTCGACCCTTGCAACACAGGGGTCGACCCTATGAAGAAACTTATGTTGATAGCATGTAAGAGGGTTGACCCTTAGACAGGAGGGGGTTGACCCTATTTTCCAGAACACTTCCAGAAACTTCACCAACAGGTAAGGGTCGACCCTTAGGAAGGCTGTGGTCGACCCTAAAATAGAATTTCTAAGTTCTCAAACAACTTTTCAAACTTAAATAAGCGTGAACGAACAATCCAAAGAATTTTAAATTAATTGTACTCCTCCAAAACCAAGATACCAACAACACCAAAGATTCCCAAAACAAAACAAAGGATTCGAATACACTTCCCAAAAGTTTTAAAAGGGTACAAGTGCTACAGCTTGTTGTGTGGTTGGTGGTTGGTAACAAGGCTCAATTAAATTGGAAAATTGTCCGTCTCAAAATCCAATTGAGTTGTTTGTTGTTGTGGCTGTGACTGGTAAAAAGGTTCAAGTAGCATTGCAAGATAGTCTCCTTAAAATTGTCTATCGCACTCGTATCATCAAACCAACAAGCTTCCTCTGTTTCTTTCCCCATCATGATTACTCTCCTGTTTTTCTGCAAATTGTCGATCGCATTCGAATCATCAAATCAACAAGTTTCCTCTGTTTCTTTCCCTATTACCAATACTCTGTTTTTTTTGCTGATTCAGCATCTTCAAGAACTCAATTCTTGCTTTCAAAACCTCCAATTTTGACTCCAACTTTTCCAAGAAACTTATCACCGACTACCGATAACCCATCAAGCAAACCATAACCATCCTTATTTCCCATCAAAACTTTCTCGCAACTTTCTCAGCACCCAAACAACAATCAGAAAAAGAAGATTCACGAGATTTCTTAGCCAGGCTTTTCTTGGCAGACTCTTTGTACATCTTGATCAGAGCTTTCACTTCATTTGGGTTTGGGGCCACGTGTTGACCTCTCCATTGGGCCGAAAACAGAGTGGTGACGATATTGATACCGCAGAGAATCGAGAGCTCCATTGTCCTTTTGATAACACTGTCCTTTCTCTTCATGTAAGTAACTCTTAGAGCTTTCTTGTTTTCAATTCGCTTCATGGGTCGTCAAATTTTCTTTCCTTTTTTATCATCTTCCATAGTAGTAAATGAAGGAATAAAGAAAATAAAATCACTTGCAAATCAAGCAACAAACGACAAGTAGAGAGAGGAGAATTAGATACTAGGCCTATTTGGTGCAGCTTAAAAGCTGTTTATTTCAGCTTTAGCTTAATTTAAGTTACAAGTGGTGTGTTGGTAGAGCTTAAAATCACATTATGTAGCTTAAATTAAGCCAAATAAGTGATTTTTGGTTGAGTGGCTTCTAGGGTGCTTATTCATTCAGCTTAAGCGAGAAACTAAACTTAAGGGCAAAATTACTTAAATGCCCTTTATTCATTTGAAGTATTACCAAATTGCCATTATATAAAGTACAAAAATAATCACTGTTCATTTCTTTGCAAAGAGAGAGAGAGAGAGAGAGAGGCATTTCGACGAGCTCTGGTCATTCTCTCTTCTCTCTCTCTAACGAACCAGAGCCTCTTTTCTTCCTCTCTCTTCGCTCTCTCTTCACCACCACCATCGCGTTGATGAGCGAAACCCTAGCTTCACGATCGAAACCCTAACCGTTAACTACGTGATGATCGCGATCGAAACCCTAACTGTCGACTGGTTCATTCTTCTCTCTCTCTCCGGCGATGAATTTCAAATTTTTTTTTGAGGTTTTCTGTGTTTTTTTAAAAATAATATAATAATAATTAAGCATTTTATAATTTAGCCATCAATAATAATTTAGCCATTTTAGCCATTAATTAAGCATTGATACTAATTAATAATTTTAGTATTTGATGCTACTTAAGCAATTAATGGACACTAATTAATTATAATAAAAAATGAAATAATTTTACTAAAAATGAAAAAAATGAAATATCACTAAAAAATGAATATAAATTGAAAAAAGAAAGGATTGTCAAATGAAAAAATTAAATATCACGAAAAATAATTAAAATGAAAATAATAAATAAATAATAATAATAATAATAATAAATAATATAATAATAATAAAATATGATGGACAAATTGATACTAATTTTAATATTGATGAGCAAATTGATAATTTTTACTAAAATCACAATTAATATAATAATAATATAACAACAACTAACAACAACAACAACAACAACAAAACACAACAACACAATAATAATAATAAAATAATAAAGAAAGAAATCAAATATAAATAATAAAATGAATATACGAGAAATAATATGTAATGAAATCAAATTAATATGAATTAGAACATGAATTAATTTTAATGAATAATAAATTAAACAAAATTAACAAAGAAAGAAGAGAAGAAGAAAAAAATTGAAAAAAGAAAAGAAAATAAGGTGAAAAAGAAAAGAAAATAAATAAATGAAAAAGAAAAAGAAAAAAATGTTATATAAATGAAATCAAAATTTTATATCTTATAAGGGCAAAAATGACAATTAAGCCATTTTACAGCTTATTTATCAAACACTACTCTGTTGCTTAAATCTATAATCCCACAGCTGCATCAAACAAGTTACCAGCTTATGTTCATAGCTATAAGGCCAAGTTTGGCATGTGGCCAAAAAGCCAAAAAGTCAAAAAGTTACTCAAAAAGTTAAAAAGTTATCACTATTCACTAAAAGTCAAAAAGTATGGCTGCATAACTCTCAATTCTATTTTTCCCTACACACTAATTTATACAATTTTTTAATACATATTTTTCCATAAAAAGTCAAAAAGTTAACCCCAACAATTATATTTTCTTCCTCAACTTTTTAATCCAAAAAGTAAAAAAGTGCACTTATTTAGGACATCCCAAACAACCCCTAAGTTATAATCTGTTAAGTTATAATTTATAATCACTTTCCCACAACTCTACCAAACGGGGCCACTATAAATGTGAGAGAGAGAGAGAGCAATTCCCTAGTTATAGATTGGAAGACTCAAATCTTTTGAAAGATATTCCTTTATTGCCATATTTGATAATGAGATGGGTTTTGCCTAACAGAATTAACGTCAATAAAAGAAAAGAAAAAGGAAAGAAAATTTATGTTTGGTGAATTTTTTAAAAATAGTTTTTCGAATTTTGAATTTGTATTTTTATAGTTTTAGTGATTTTTATATATATATTTTTTAACTTATTGGATCTACTTAATTTTGATATACTTAAAAAATATATAATTTGTACAATTTTTTTTTTAAAATTCATTAAGATGTACTAAATTTTCATTTTTTTTAATGGAACTTTGGATGCGTTTGGTGACTTGGATTTGATTGTTTTCAATTTACCTTTTGCTTTTTTATTACTAGTATATCACCCGTGCTATGCACGTGATAAAATAATATATTATTTATTAAAAATATGATAATTATATTTGCTTTTTTTATATTTTGTCTCTTGTAAATAATATTTTATATATAAATTAATGGATTATATTTCAAATGTTTCTTTACTATAACATATAGTATAGATAGATTAAACTTGTTGTATGGACAATTAATAATTAAAATTATGCTTTTTATTGGTTTTTGAAAGGGAAATAATTAAAGAAATTTTAAAAACTTAATGAGTAAAAAAGAATCATCGTAACATGTAAAACCGCTAACATCACGGTTAAACCATCAAATCATTCAAACCAAAAATGGTTTAGCTTAATCAGTTAGGTCAAAAGACCAACCAGCTTACAAAAAAATTAATTAATTAAAACTTTTAAATTTTGTTTTATTAAAATTTAAACTGTCACTAAATATGAAAAGCAATCTATTAATTTAAATTTAAAATTGACACAATATAAATTTAAAATTATAATAATTTATCTCAAAATTTATAAGTTTTAAATATAAATTTAAAATTATCATAATTATCTCATAATTTTTGTATTAAGGAGCAGTAAGAGCGACATTGAGATTATCGATATATCTATATATTTTCTAAAAGAATACTTTTAAGGAGAGATATTATGAGAGTTTCAAAATCCCATACAAATTATTTTTAAAATCAAAACCTCAATGTGAGATTGTAAAATAAAAGTTAAATGGAAGCTAGCCAATTGGGATTTTCTTAATTGTTTAAAATTAAGAAAATAAAAAAAAAATTAGTATGAGATATTGATCATAAGACTTCTCATTAAAAATCTCATTTTGCTTATATAAATGGGAGTATAAGATTCACTTTATGTAAGTGAAACAATTCACTTTCTCATTCTTTTCTCGATGTGAGATTATAAAATAAAAGTTAAATGAAAGCTAACCAATGGAGATTTTCTTAATTGTTTAAAAGCTAACAATTGTTTGGACGGGAAGTTTATTTCGAATCAAGCAATCTTAGCCGTTTAATCTTTAATTAGGTCAAACAAATTTAACTAATATATTTTGATAAAACTGCTAAAATCGCAATTAAACCAGTGAATCAGTCAAACAAAAAATGATTCACCCTATTGGCTAGGTCAAATGACCAACCAACTTATACAAAAATTAATTAATTAAAACTTTGAAATTTTATTTTAATTTTAAAATTTAAACTGTCTTGAACTGAAACATACACAATAATACAATATTAAATGAGAGCATAAGGTTTATATAGTGAAACAACTCTTTTTTCCTTCATTTTCTTGATGCGAGAATGTAAAATAAAAGTTGATAGTTGTTTGGACGGGAAGTTCATTTCTAATCAAGCAATCTCAGTCGTTCAATTTTTAATAAGGTCAATCTTAATTTATTTCAAATCAAACAAATCTAAGCAATATATTTTGATAAAATAACTAAAACCACGGTTAAACCAGTGAATTAGTCAAACTGAAAACGATTTAGCCTAATCGGCTAAGTCAAAATACAAACCAATTTACAACAAAATTAACCAATTAAAACCTTTAAATTTTATTTCAAAATTTAAATCGTCTTTAAGTGAAACATGCACAATACTATAATATTAATTCAGAGTATAAGTGAAACAACTCACTTTTTCTTTTTTTTTTCCTCGATGTGGGATTGTAATTATTTTAAAGTTAAATATTATGAGAGTTTCAAAATCTCATACAAAATCATTTTTAAAGTCAAAACGTCAATGTGTGATTGTAAAATAAAAGTTAAATGGAAACTAACCAATGGAGATTTTATTAATTGTTTAAAATTAAGAAAATTAAAAAAAAAATAGTATTGATTTTAGGGTTTCTCACTAAAAATCTTCTTTTGCTTATATAAATGGGAGCATAAGATTCACTTTATATAAGTGAAACAATTCACTGTAGACACCCCATTTTTGACTGTCCTCAAGACTTGGACATCATCGTTTGAACACCCGATAATTTCGCATGCTCGTGTTCGTTCTGAGCGTCTGAAGTTCTTGGCAAAGTGTCTTGCCTTCGGGCCTTTCAACATGTCTGTTTTGTGCTTGATTGTGGACCAAGAGCTTGTTGCTGCGAATCTGGAAGAGAGGGTGGCTTGTCGGCCACCCCCAATGTCCATCAACTATGGCTTGTGCTTGCCGGCCATCAGTGGTGGCCGGTCAGCCACACTGATGGCCGGTCGGCTACATTGATGGCTAGTCGGCTACATTGATGGTCGGTGGGCCACTGATGATGGTCGACGACCATTTTTCTCCTTTTTTAGATATTTATTTGCTAATTGTGCCAGCTGTTGTTCACGGATGCTCATCTTCATACACGTGTATGAATGGATGAATACAAGCCTTTAGCTTGATTTTCTATATAAGCCGGGGGGGGGGGTCTCTCCTCCATTTTGAGAGGTTACACAACTTGGAGAAAATTTTTCCCTCTCTCGCTAGAATTCTCTCCCTCTTATTATTTTGTGCTTGAAAGTGAGAATTCACTACACTTTTGCACTAAGACCCTTAAGCAAACATCTTCATCTTGGAGCTGAGGTTTTTTGAGGCTTGGTTTGAGCTCCTAAGGCTGGTTTGAGCTCAGAACTGTGGCTATTTAGTGCTGTGCTTCAAAGGTATAAGGCTTACCTCATTTAAGCTTCGTTTTAGTTGCTTGCTTGGCTATCTTTTTACACTGTTTTGACCTGGT